GAGCCTGGAGACCGCTCCTCAGAGCCACCATTCAGCTTCGCTACAGGAGACCTCAGCTTCCAAATCTAAAGCTGAAGTTATTTTTCTGCTTCCTTCTGCCATTGAAGCCCCTCCAGGCACTGCAGAGGAGGGGGTGAAAGCTTCCCAGGAAAGCTGCAGGGAGGGGGCTGGCCCTGTGTATGCACCGAGGGCTTGGGGGAACAGGAGCCTGGCACCCCACGCCTACCCCCGTGTGTCCTCGCAGGGGCTCCACTTCGTGCCGCAGAGCAGCTGAGCCAGCCTGGGGTCCTAAACGGGACCCTCGCAGCGCTTTGGGGCAGCTCAGCTTGGGTCTGGAGCCAGGAACCTAAAGATATACCCTGCTTGGGGTCTGTCCTCCCAGCACCTCTGTCCTCCTCTCCCAGCTAGGGCTGCCCTGCACCCCCCAGAAATGGAGCCTCAGTGCCCCACATGCACCACAGAAAACCCACCTTGCTGCTGCCCAACAGCATCTCTGCTCTGAGCCCCTGCTCTCTTTACAGTGGCACAGGGGCAAGGGACCTGAACCCAACTCCCATTTAAGCTGTGAGATGCTCTTCTGTGATGTTTCTGGTAGCTCGGGGTGGAGGTCTCAGCTCATCAGGAGAAACTCCTGTGCCCAGATGGGGAAAGCTCCTTCCCACAGCACTGGAGGTGCCACCTTGCTCTTGGCACATGCTGCTGGAGCTCAGCTGATGTGGGTTTGCTCTCTGCATCCCTGCTCAGCTGCAGCTGGTGCATCCCCACCTGCCCGGCAGCGATGCTGGGCCTGGGCTCCAGCAGCCTGGATGTCTTTGCAGGGGACACTCTCAGGGCTGGGAACCAGTGCCCAGAGATGTGTCACTGTCCATAAAATCATCAGGGGCAGCCAAGGCTTCCCAGCTTCTCAGCTGAGCTAGAGAGCTTCAGACCCAGGGAGCTGGCTTGTTAGTGCTTCCGCAGGCTGGGCAAGGGTCATGGAACAGTTGGGGGAGAGTAAAATCCTTCAAGGATGCTGGTTCCTGTGTTGGCAGCACAACGAACACCACAGCAAAACCCCTGCAGCCCCCCTGCCCGGAGGGGGATGGCCAGCCCCGGGCTGTGCAGACACACAGACCATGTCTCTGCATCATCCAGCTCCTGCACTTGCAGGTTTCAGCCCAGCAAACAGCTCGGCTGGGCTGCAGTGCCCGTGTTGTGCCCTGTGCCAGCCCGGTCTCTGCCCACCGATGTGGCAGCAGCTGCCTGGGAGGTGCTGGGGGGGCTCCGACGGCCGCAGGGTCGGTCCCACCCTGCTGCAGGACAGATGCTGCCAGGCTGTGGGATGTTTCCTGCAAAGGTGGAGGTGTCCAAGGGCTCCTTGGGCGATGCTCAGGCTGGATGGAGCCTCCCGCAAGCTCCTGCCCCATGAGGTGCAGGGAGCCAAGAGCGGGCGGCGATCGATCGCTGTAACTGCAGAACAAATGCAGCAGCGCCGGGCTGCTGCATCGCCATCATGAAAATAAATGAGAGATTGATTTTCCGGGTGGTTTGGATCTCATGGATCTCCCCAGCGGTGACAAGCGGGGTGCAGGCACGGCCAGCATGGCGGGGCTGACGCCTCCCTGCCCTCACTGCGCTGGGCAGAGGCAGCTGTGAGGCGGCCGGAGACGCGGGCACCCTGAAACGGGGGCAAAGCAGGTCTGAGGGGCTTCAGGCTCCCGCTGGCATCGCAGGGGACAGACCCCAGGCGAGGCTGGGGACAACGGGAGGGATGGGGAAGCGTGGTGCCCCGTGCTCCCCCATGGGAGCCCCCGGCTCGCCGACATCAGCAGCATCCCAAGCCGTGGTGAGTTGCACTTGTCTGCTCACCAGAAAGGCACTGTCTTCCTTGTAACGTCTTATCTTCAAGCTTCCCTCCCTAAGTCACATCTGACTTAATTATGGTAATTAAGATTGACATTAATACAAGATTAAAATGTGAAATTAAAATTGGCTGTGAAACTTATCTGAATTTTTAGTGTGCTTATTGATTTTCTTCACTGTTAATCAAAGGTCTGAGGTAACTGCCAATGAACACGGTGCTAATTAGAGCAATGCCCACTAAAGTGGCCTCAGGAGATGCTTCTCTCTATTTCCTTCGGAATACCCCAGGTTTCTGACCACGCAAACATCTCCAGCCCTGAGCACTGCCAAAGGAGCAGTAATGATTTCTCTTTTTCTTACATGAGCCCCTGTGGCCGCCTACCCTGCCTGCTCCCAGAGCCACCGTCTTGCTCACGATGCTCAGCGGTGCATGACGATGATGCATGGTGATGCACAGAGATGATGCATGGTGATGCACAGCGATGCATGGCGATGCAGGTGCTGCACGGCGATGATGCACGGAGATGCACGACGGTGATGATGCACGGAGATGCACGGTGATGATGCACGGAGATGCACGGCGATGATGCATGGTGATGCACAGCGATGCACGGCCATGCATGGTGCTGGAGGAGCTGGTCTGGCCAGCGAGGGTTTGGGGTGGTGGGTCCTGACTGCAGGAAAGAGTGCCCTGTTTTTTCAGTGGGGGCAGCAGGAGCATGTTGACCCGGAGAGCACCGCGGCCGCCGGCTCCTCCACCATGCACATCACCATCGTTTCTCAGACTGAAATTTCACAGGCCATTAGGCCACAGTGCTGGCTGCAGGAAGAAAATTATTCAAATCATCCTGTTCTGCACTAGCTCTGGGGAGCACGTCCTGCTGTGCATCCCACCCCGTCCCCCCCCCCCCCCCCATGCTCCCACCTCCTTGCTCGCCCACGGCCCCTGGAGCTGCTGGAGGGGGGATCCCAGCACCACCCAACCCCCCGGGCTCACCTAGCACCATCCCCAGCACCCACTGACCCCCCAGGCACTGCGGGAAGTTGGGAAGTGCCCCCCAAGAAACCCCAGCTGGTGCCAGGTGTGATGTCCAGGGCCCGTGGGGTGTGAGCTGGGCCCAGATGCACTCCCTAAACCTGGCTGATGAGCCAAGGCTTGAGCTTAACCGTTCCCTCTCCATCACTAAGAACTTTTGCCACTTAGTGGGCATTTCTGCATCACAAACATACAGCATTTGTTCTTTTTTTCCTGCCTGTTACCATGGCGCTGGTGTTATTATCTGGCTGTCTTAGGAGTTTACTACAATGCAGATGAACACAATAAAAATCACTCAAGGAAAACTGCTAAATGAGAGACAACTTTTATCTTTAATAACGGCGGGTCGGGAGGGAAGCCGGTGATGGAGCAGAGGGGGGACCAGAGCAGGCTGAGCTCGCTCTGCTGCAGATAGCTTTGTTAGACCAAATTAAAACTCTGAGCAAGCGAATCCCACTTTATATATGAAAATGACAGTGTTAAATAATATACTGCGCCTCTCGGTGATTTCTCTCCCTTTCTTATTTTGTCCTTCTCTCGCCTGCTGCCCAACGGCTCCCAGCTGGCAGCAGCGAGGAGTGACACAGAGAATGCAAATGACCCCGCTGCCCGCACAGCCTCTTCGCCCGCCGCAAAATCCCCCGGCTGCTGCTTCTCCCGCTTGCACCAGCATCAGGTGGAGGAACTCTGCAGAGCCCAGCAGGGAAAAAGGCAGCAGGATCCGTCCCCGTGTTTGGACGGTTTCTTGACTTGCTGTGTTCTGCGTGGTGGCATTTGTAGTGATACCAGTATGTGATTATTGTTGCTGAGGTAACCGAATCAGCGTAATTGCTCTCTCAGAGGTAGCAGGGACTTCTCAGATGGCAGCATCAACAAACTGGCTGTTTGGGGGGAAAGGCTGGCCTCAATCTTGTGGTGTTTGACACTCGTGTCGTGCTTCATGACATTGTTCTGGCTATTTGACTTGACAGGCAGAGTGGCCGGGAGAACCAGGGAGCTCTCAGCGGGAGGTGATTTACAGTAAACAATTCAGGGTAGGATTTGGGATATCAAGAGAAAGAAGCCTCTGTTCCTGTTCTTATCAAAGCCAGTGTAATTACAGTGTGTGCTCTGAGGAGCTCGGGAGGGGCTCTCAGCTTGCTGCAGCTGCCAGTGGCCGGGGCAGGGGGACAGGCAGGACCAGAGCGGGCCGGGAGCTCCTGGGAGCCATCAGGCACTGAGGCCAGGGAGCTCCGGGGTGGGGTGCTGAGCAGGGACTCTGTGCGCTGCTTCTTTTGCTGAAGGGCTGAGGAGAGTCCGGGGCTAACCCGTGGCCACAGTGCCAGCCCCACATTACTTGGGGGTCGGGGGGTGGGGGGGGCCCACACAGTTTCCACAGACTGGGAGCTCCCCATGTGCCCGGAGCCCATCGCCCCACCGCAGCTGGTCAGCCCCCTCCCAGCCCGGCTTTGCTGCCTTCAGCAGCAGGACCAGACCTTGGTGCACTCGTGATCTCAAGGGGTGCATGGGGGTGGTATCAGCCCCCCCCCCCCCAATAGCACCGCTGCCCTGTTCACAGCCAGCTTTTGGGGAGCCCAAGGGGAGGGGAGGGGGGGTAAGGCTGGGCTTAAGCAGGGAGGTGAGAGGGGCTTGGCGTGCTGAGAGGGGTTTGGGGTGCTGAAGGGGGGGCTTGAGGTGCTGAGAGGAGTTCGGGGTGCCATGGGGGTTTGGGGACAAGGGTCAGTGAGGTGATACAAGAGACTGGGCACAGGCTGGGCCAGGGCCTGCGGTGGGGAGCACTGATCAGGCTGGGGGGCTCCGGGAACCGGGGAGAACCGGGGAGGCTGAGTGAGGGAAGCCGTGGGGGGCTGGGGGGGAAGCCGGGGGAGCCCCGGGCTTGGGGCAGAGCAGCGGGTCGGCGCGGCTGGGTGGTGGGGTAGGGGCGGGGAGGGGGGGGGGGGGGGCCCGGGGGAGCCGCGGGCGGGGCCCGGAGCGCACGGCGCTACGCGGGGGCCGGGGCGGCCGGCGGCGCCCTCCCCCGCCGCTCGCTTCCGCGCCTCTCCGCGCCCGCTCCGCGCCGAGCCGCCCCGCTCTTCTCCGCCCCTCCCGCCGCGCCCGCTCCCCCGCGCCGGCCCCGGCTCCGGCGGCAGCGCCCGCCCCCGGCCCCGCTCGGCGCGGCGCGGCGCGGCTCGGTTCAACGCGGCTCAGCGCGGCTCGGCTCGCAGCAGCGCGGAGGCTCCGCCGCACCATGCCGGGGCCCCGCGGGCTCTGCCTGCTCGCCCTGCTGCTGGGCAGCCCCGCGGCCCCGCGCCCAGGTAAGCGGGGCGGAGCGGGGCGGAGCGGGCCGGGGCTGCGGCGCGGAGCCGAGCGGGGCTCCCCGCGAAACGGCCGCCGGGGCCCTTGCGGCTCCCGGCCGGGGCTGGCGGAGCGGGGAGCGACCGACCGGGGTGAGGCGGAGGATGGGGGGGGGGGGGGGGGAGGGGAGGGAGCGGGGGGGGTGGGGGTGATGCAGCCGGGACCGGCTGTGCCACCCCCCGACCGGGCTTCTGCTGCTCCCCGGGCCGGGATGAAACTTCTGGCATTGCCGGGAGAGCTCAGCACCGGCACCGGCACCGGCGGCGGCGGCGGCGGCTCAGCACCGCGGGGCGGACAGCTCCCGCCGCCGGGGGCCGGATCCTGCCGGGGCCGCTCCGCGGAGCCGCGTCCTGCCCGGCAACCGACTGCGACCGGGGACCGTGTGCCCCCCGGGGAGCTGTGCCGGACCCTCCGCCTCCCTCCCGCAGGGACAGCAGCCCGGCTGTCCCCAGACCCCGGTGTCCCCACCTCTCGGGTGTCCCCCTCCCCACGGTGTCCCCAGCCCCCCGGTGTCCCCAGCCCCCTGGTGTCCCCATCCCCCCAGTGTCTCCAGCCCCCCAGTGTGTGTCCCCAGACCCCCAGTGTCACCAGCCCCTGGTGTCTCCAGCCCCCCGGTGTGTGTGTCCATCCCCCCGGTGTTGCCATCCCCCCATTGTCTCCAGCCCCCCGTGTGTGTCCCCAGCCCCCAAGTGTCCCCAGCCCCTGGTGTCTCCAGACCCACAGTGTATGTCCCCAGCCCCCCAGTGTCCCCAGCCCCGCAGTGTGTGTCCCCAACCCCCCCAGTGCCAGCTCTCTGCCGATGTTCCTGTCCCAGCGGCTTGGGCACACAGGGGATGGCCGTGGGGTGGTGAGTGTTTTTCCCAGGGGCTGCGTGTTCATTCCACGTGTTTCACGTCTCCACACAAATCCGCTCCCTCTCACTTTCCCACTGCCGTGATGACAGAACCAAGAATAGGCTCCGGGACCCGGCTGCGGGTGACTTGACAAAGTCATGGCAAACTAGCGCGGTGCTCGGAGGTCGTTAAATTGGTGCCTGCTCCTGGTCTCTCGGAACTGGAAGGCTGCGGGCCCGCAGCAACCGGGTTTTGGTGTGCTGGTTACCAGTACAGACTGGGCAGAGGAAGACGGGAGAGGCTGGTGCCTGCCTGTGCTGCAGTGGCTGTGCAGGGCCCGGGAGGCTGACCCCTGCGGCCGACAGTGTGGTTGTAGCCAAGATTAACAGCTCCTGGTGTCAGGAGTGCTGGGCAGTGCTGCCTGCCTGGCTTTGTTTTCTGGTCAGATTGCATTCAAAGACTTGGACTTTTTTGTGTTAAACCCAGCTCTCCACAAAGAGACTGTATTACAGAATCCATCCTTCTTTCTGGGTAACAACAAAAATGGGCTTTAGATTATGGCATTTTCTCTCTCACCTGCATGGTGTATGGACGTGCTCGTACATATGAAGGAATCAGATCTGAAGTCTCTACCCACAATTGCTGGCATCCTGTTTCAGCGTCAGAACAAATGGAAAGACACGTTTCTCCAGCGTGTTACACAAACGCTCTCGTCCAGGCTGCTGGTGAGCTGCTGCGGGAGATGTGTGTGCAGAGAGAGCGATAGTCCCCGTGGTGCTGGGGGGGGGGACTGGGGGAGCTGGGCGAACAAACGGAGCGAGTGCAGGGCCCAGTATGGGGCTTACAGCTCTGCCACTGCCTCGTGCCCTGGAGGCAGGAGGGCTGCCCCAGGCCCGAGCAGCCGCGGGGAGCCCCGGCAGGCAGCCCAGCTCCTCCGGAACAAGATTTGGCCCTTATGGCAAGCACGATCTGTCATCAATCTCAGGGTAGCAGAACGCAACGTACTGAACTCCTCTTTCCTTGGCAGAGGGAGCTGATAAATAGTTGACCCTTTACAGGGTTTGGTGAATTATTGCTGTAAAATCCCAAACTCCTGCACACGCAGCCCCGGAGCCGGCAGTGACGTGGCACCTCTCCCGGTGCTGGCGGGGGGGTGGGGTGGGAGGTTTGTCGATCTGTTTGCAGGAGGTCACAGCCGGGGCCCAGATTAGCAAACCCCGCTGTTGGCAAACTGCGAGGGGCAGCAGGATCAGACCCTGCAGGGAGATGGTTTGTCGTGCTCCATCTGCTTGCTCTTTCGGTTCGTCCTTTCAAGGAATAACTAATTTCACATGACTTGCACCCATCGCTTGCTCGGCTGGTGGCTTTTTGGTGCTTTGCACCCGTGGAGCCATTTAGATCAATAGAGAGGAGGTGTGAAAGCCTCTCCTCCCGGCATCCGCTTGCACCCACCCACCAGCGCGGAGCACAGCGACAGAACAGGCAGCAGAGGCACGTCCCTTGGCGAGGACTTGTGCCAGGAGGCTCCGGGCGGCAGCGTGCACGGGTAGATGGGCACAGAGATTTCTTTGGCACGGTGTGAATGCGGCAGGCAAACACGGGGTGCACGGGCAGCCCGGCGGCTGCGGGCAAGGAAGGCGGCAAGGCTGTCGGTGCTGCCTGGGAGGGCTCAGGCTGGGACCCGGGCTTGGCAAAGCCGGGCTCTGGGGACAGCGGGGGCACGGCCGGACACCCCGGGAGATCCCGGGTTACCGAACAGATCCCGTTTAGGGTGGTGGTGGCGATGCAGAGCCGTGTCCACTAGAGGTTGTGATGAGACCAGCAAATCCCTCCCGGAGCACAAGTGCGACTCGGGGAGGCGGGGGGGGGGGTGCTGAGCACCCGGCGCCTCCATAGCCACATCAGCTGCGCTCCCCCTTCTTTTCTTCAAGGCGTTCGGGCCCCTCCGGGGGCTAGTTGTCACGGCGGATTAGCGAGTCACAGAGATTCCGCCGGCTTTGTGGTGAGCGCGGCACCACGGGAGAATGGTTCCAGAAAATCAGGTGTGTCCAGCAGGAAGGAAAACGGAGCGTGAACTCGGCGAGGGCTGCAACAAGTGCGCGGGGTTGCTCTGACTGCACCGCGAACCGTGACACCGCAAGCAGTGAGATAATAGTACTGCCAGCGGGCTGTGCGGCCGGCGATAACGGGGAAGGGAATTTGTCTGAAGGGGGGGTATCAGAGGCCATAATAAATATCTCCTCTTCCTTCTCTCCTCGGCAGGAAGAACGAGGAAAGTCTGGATCAGTAGCAAATGAATTTAATACCTCTTATCCTTCTACTTCTCCTGTATTCTTGCCATTATGAATATATAAAGATACTATTTAAAGTGTATGTTTTGTGGATGTTATGGTGTCACAGATGTTTCCTGCTATACATTTTTAACTCCTCAGTCAGTGAGGAGTTTGGTACAAGTATTTGGGGCTGAAGAGGCAGGCTGTAGACCAGTGAAGCTAAATATGCTCACTTGGCATACAGAATGCCACACAGAGGTCTTAGAAAAGCAAACCATGTAAAAAGGCAAGCACGGAACATATCAGTGTATAATTCATCCCTTGTAGCTCTAAGTCAGATCATGCTGGGATCAGAAATTAATAGATAATAAGGCAGATATGAGGCAGTACGCACAGAGGTGTGCCAGGGCATCGCTGGGTGGGTAATGCAGGCATTAATATTGGCTGGTGGGAGCTTGGCATGGCCAGCGGGAGGGCAGGGCTGTTCCTGGGGTGGGCAGGGGGTCAGAGCCCAGCACGGCGGCGCTTTGTTATCCCATTTTGTACAAACAGCTTTTATTCTTTTTTCAATGAAATGGGCTCTATATGATTAAATAACATGCAGCTTTTGATTTAGTCTATGAGCAGCCTCAGAAATCAGTGTATTTTACATCTTCTGTCATTGCAATGAGTACAGCTAGTTCCAGTGGGCTCTGGAAAGAAAAAAAAAAAAAAAAAAAAAAAAAAAAAGACTAACCTTCTGTGAGCAATCCAAAAGTTATTTACTTGATGCGATTTTATTTTTCAAATATTTGAAAGTGGTTACTGAACAGTAAAATACGCTCCAAGGAAATCCTGTTACAAAACACAGGCTATATTTTAATTAGCATAACGTGCAGTTACATGACTGGAACTGGAGCCTGCCAATAAATGCATCTTTTGGGAGTTCAGATAGATGTCTATAGAAAATACAGCGGGAGCACTGGCTTTCCAATTTTCCAGTCCATCAGGATGGATTTACACTCCTGTCAGGGGTATGAAATTGCTGAATTCAGTGGTGAGAGCTCTGTGTCTTTAACCACTTGACTCGCCAGGCGCGGGGGGCTGCATGAGGTGGGAAGTGTCTCTGCTTCGCTCCGAGGGACCCAGCGGGTTTGGGGGGGCTCGCCCGCCAGACAGGCAGGGTCAGTCCCAGCCCCCCAGCCCCCCGTCAGGGCTTCAGCAGAGCAGGCACCAGGATAACCACACCGGTACGGGGCACGGGCCATTCCTCTTCAGCAGCGTTTGGGGTCAAAGTTGATGTTTCCAGTGGGCTGCGGCTCAGGAACAGAAACCCCGGGGTGCAGCACCCATGGCTGTGGGGCTGGGGACCTGCCTTCCCTCCAGGCATGGCCTCGGGGCAGCAATGGGGAGGAGCGTGTGTTCCGGGGTGTGTGTGTGTGTGGGGGGGGGGGGGGGGGGGGGGTGTTAGGTCTGCCCGGGGGGGTGCAGAGCAAGCTGGGCTGCAAACAAAAGCGTTTCAACGTCCTGGCGTTGGAGTGCTGGGCCAGGACCGACGTCCCTCAGGGAGGGAGCAAGCAGAGCCCAGTAAAGCTGCTTTTCCACTGATGCTTTCAGAGGGAGGTCACACACACCCGGCCAAACCAGCCAGAAGAAAATGCCACCGGACCGCTGGCAAAGAGGCGCAGGAGGACAGGGAGCCCCCCTGCCACCCCCCCAGCAGCACCCGCCGCGCAGGGGGCTCATTTCTACCTCTGCCCAGCTGAAGGGAAGCAATGTTTGGCAAACGATGTGATTCAAAAAGAGCCAGGACAGGCTTTAAGATGTCCTAAAACACTGGTCCCCACAGAGCTGGAGCTCTGTGATCCCAGCCTG